GCCCCTTATGTCCAAAGTGAGAAGCAGTTTAATGTTTATTTCTAATAAACATTAGGTGAGCAACACCTCCAGCTCATTTGATTAAAATCTTGGTTACAAATAAAATACTGCGTAGTTAAGTGTATCCTGTGAAGATCTGATTTATATTTTAAATTGTTAGGTGGGTTTTGGAACTCTCTTTTCTTCAGACAACAAAGACACTTCCCTTTTTCTTCCCTCCTGTCTATGTTGAACTTTGCATGCTGCTTCCAGTTGAGTGCTTTGGGTGTTTGTTGTTGCTTTTTTCAATGTCAATAATTTTGGTGGGGCTTTTTCGTGTGTCCTGAACAGCTGCAGCTGCGGGAGCATATGGGAGACAAGTATGCAAGTTACGGTGCCAAGGCACGCCACCTGAAATTTCTTGAAGAAAATGTGAAGTTCTGACCACAACTGTTTCCTCAGAGAAAAGGACTGGTTTATAGATCATTTGAGAGACTGGACCAGCTTACAAAGCACGTTTAACCATTTACCTTCTTTGTTGGAATAAGGAGGTGAAGTTGGAAAAAAAAAACCACGTTATAGTTTGTAGTAATATTTTTCATGTTAAAATGTGAATGACTATCACTTTCTCAGAAGAGAAACTGGTTAGTTTAGTTTTTATTCTCTTAATGAAACTTTTAAAGTTGCTTTTTATAGATTCAAAGAGGGATGGATACCAAGTTTTGTATACAAATGAGTGTCAAAAATAGATGTTTGAACTTGTCACAGTGAGAGGTTTTTGGTATGGTCGTATACTGATGATGGTAACAAATCTATGCCAAGGATATGGTGTGATAGGCTATAAGCTATTGCATCAAATAGTGAACATTCAGCAGGCAGAAACAATTACTAACTTGTGTAGCACCAAAAGCCTTCCAGGTTCTTAAAATTGCCAAGGGAAGGTGCTCAAGGAGTGGCTGTACTGCCTTTAAACAGAGCCTTTGCTTTTGTGTCTTACTGCTAAGGCGGTCACCAAGGTGGTGGAAAGTATTTGGTAACTGAAGAAAATAAGTCTGAAAATGCTGGAAAGGACCACAGCCATGGTTACCATGGTCCCAGCTGGAGAAATCCCTTTGCCTTACAAATACTAATTCCTTCTAGCAATGAAAGTGCCCAAGACCACGGTCACTCAGAGAAATAGGTGTCTTAGCTATTCCCTTTCTCTGCATCTAGACTGTACTGCTGCACATGCTCAGATGTTGTCATGTACTATCACTACAGAAAAAGCATACATTCTTTTTAAGGGATAAAGAAGTCAAAAGATAATTTAATTTGTAAAATAAAACTTCAAATGCACAGCTTGTCTCTTTTCCTGCTTCTAGCTTAAATACTGTAACCTCCAGCACCTATGAGGGAGACTAACTTGACAGGAGTACAAAAGTGCAATACCTGTGGATCCTGCTGCCTCTCACACACTAGATGCTTGAGTTACAGTTTCAAGAGCTGTTGTATTATGCAGAGTCAAGATGTTACTTTCTCTACCCAGCCAAATTTATCCTAAACAAAAAATGTCATTCTGCAATCTCCTATCCTAGAATACTTGCCAGTTCTTAGCACTTTTCAGAACTGTGGGGGATACACTGTTTTACAGTACTTGTTACAACCTGACACTACTGAGCTTGTTTTACAAGCAGTTATGAATGTTATAGATGTCCAGCTGTATC